ATAAGGACTATATCGTCGGCAAATCGAAGGTGAGTGATGTACTCGCCATTGATGTCAATACCGTATCCTAGTCCAGTAGCTTGAAAACGTCTTCCAATGCAGCGGTGAAGAGTTTCGGGGATATAACGTCACCCTGTCTTACACCTCTCTGCAGTTTGATAGGTTTCGAGCTCTGGTTCTGTACTCGGATAGCCATCGTAGCCCTACTGTACAAACACTTCAGCACTTCGATATACCGACAGTCAACTTGGCACCGCTGAAGGGACTGTAGCACCGCCCAAATTTCGACGGAATCAAAGGCTTTCTCATAGTCCACATACGCCAGGCAAAGTGGCAGATTGTACTCTTCAGTCTTCTGTACAATCTGCCGCAGGGTATGTATGTGGTCTATGGTACTGAAGCCTTTTCGGAAACCGGCTTGTTCGGGAGGCTGGAAGTCGTCAAGTCTGCGTGCGAGACGATTCGTAATGACTCTCGAAAACAGCACGTAGACGCGGCTCAGAAGGGAAATCGGTCTGTAGTTCTTTAAGAGAGCGTTGTCGCCTTTCTTAAAGAACAAGACCATCGCACTTCTGCTCCACACCTCTGGAGTAGTGCCACCATGGAGGACGGAATTGAAGAGCTTCTGAAGGACTTCAAGTACCGGTGTTCCACCCGCTTTCAGAAGCTCCGCTGTAATTCCATCCTCGCCTGGGGCCCTGCCGTTTTTAAGGTGCTGGAGAGCCATTCTAATCTCGCTTAGACTGACGTCCGGGATATCATCGGAATAGTGTCGGATAAGACTTGCTCTTGGATCGTTACTCACACTTGCGTGTGGCTCCAACGATGATGTGTACAGCTGCCCATAGAACCTCTCAATCTCACTCAAAATCTCAGGTGTCCCGGAAACGATGTTGCCACACTCAGTCTTCAGCCTTGACAGTTGGCTCTTTCTGGCAGACAGATCTCTGGCAAAGACTTTGGAGCCCTGGTTCCGCTCGATCGCTTCTTTAATACGAGAAGTATTAAAGTTGTGTAAGTCTCGCCGTATGCATTTGGAGATCTGTCTGTTCAGTTGCCTGTATGCTGTCAAATCTGTTGACGATTGCAGCCTCATCTCCCGTCTAACAGCCATGAGATTAAGAGTGTGATCGGAGAGTTTTTGTGTTCTTCTGCGGCGGGTCTTGCAGAACTTAGCTCCGACCGCATGGACAGTTTCCACGAGCTTGTCGTTCATATCGTCCACTGCATTGCGATCTTCTAGGCACTGGAAGCGGTTACGTAACTCGAGCTGAAAGGTTTCGAGAATATCCACTACCCCATATCTTCCCGTGGGTGTCGTAAGAGGCGACAGAGGGAGACAGGCAGGAGATGGGCAGCAGCGTCTTCCTGATGACAACTGTGACGTAATAAAAAACTGCGGTTGCCAACCCGCTCGCCAAGCGTGGCAACTATGGCAAATACCCCCCAATGAATAAATACACAAACAGACGGCCCCCAGTCCCCGGCGGCCCCGCTATTCCTGGCTACGGTGGCGACCATGGTAACGGCGGGGCAGGGGGTGCTAAGAATCTCCGGTGGAGGTTCGGTTGCCACCTACGACGACTCGACCTGGCAACATATAACGCACGCACCCTGAGGACTGACGAGAATATACTGGAGCTGGAAGAAGAGGTAGACAAGTTGCGCTGGCATATTATTGGATTATCCGAGGTCCGAAGAGAGGGGGAGGACACGGCAATCCTCGAGTCCGGCAACTTGTTCTATCACCGGGAGGGCGACCATCTGTCCCAAGGAGGTGTCGGATTTATCGTCCACAAATCTCTCGTCAACAACGTTGTAAAGATTGGGAGTGTGTCGACGAGGGTCGCGTACCTGATACTCAGAATCACCAAACGGTATTCGCTGTAGGTCATTCAGGTTTACGCACCAACCTCGGCACATCCCGATGAGGAGGTGGAGGAAATGTATGAGGATATTTCCAGAGCCATACATTCCTCCAAAACCTACTACACGGTGTTGATGGGAGACTTCAACGCAAAACTGGGCACAAGAGAAAGCGGTGAGCTGAAGGTAGGGAAATTTGGAGTAGGGCAACGGAACCGAAGGGGCCAGCAGCTGGCCGACTTTATGGAGAAAGAGGGACTCTTTATGATGAACTCTTTCTTCCAGAAGCGGCCCCACAGGAAGTGGACCTGGTCGAGCCCCGACGGTTCGACAAAAAATTTAATTCGACAAAAAAGAGATTGACTTCATTATGACGACCAGACGCCAACTGTTCAGTGAAAACAAACTTGTCTCCAAATATTTGCGGTGTTAGGATTACAATTTGTATTTTGATCTGTGTGTTGCTATATTAATTATAATGATTACGTTGCTTAACATTGACTTCTTTGTTCTGTTTATTTTAATGTGAAATGTAATAATTTATTTTCGGTTTTATATTGTTTGAATATTTAAATCATAAGTTTTTAACTATTATAATTTATTATTTTCTTGGAAAACATTACTAATTTGAGTAGATTATGAAAGTATTTTCTTCGGATAATACAATTTTGAAACTCACTACATATAATATAATGTTTTACACAACTAATTGATTTAAAGTTTGTTGTTTCCATATTGTGAACCACAATCCCTGACTGACACTGTAACTAAATATTATACGAGATTATTTTATGATATAAAGTAAAAGATGTGATTAAATGTATGGTTAAGTTACGGAATACATAATTATAAATGAAAAGATTGATAATGTATAGTTGCGAGCGTAAGATAAAGAAAATTATCGGAGGTTAGTATATCCACATACAATCAGCCTGATCAGCTGAGAGTTTGGAAAACCTAATAGTCGATTAATTTTTAAGGTTGTTTGGACACGATTAAATGCGTAATAAGTTTTAATGTATTTTAATGAGGGAAATGATAATTTATTATGAATTGTATAGGAATATTGTCCACTATCTTGATTATGTATGTACGCGAGCCGTGTACGTCAAAGTTATGGTACAATTAAATAATGAATTACATGAGCTGAAATGTAAAGAAGTGAATTAAATGATATTGGTAATTTTCTTGATCATGTATGTACGCGAGCCGTGTACGTGAAAGAAATGACATACATGTGTAATGAATAGCTACAGGATACGAATAAATAATATTGTAAATTTGCGTGAAAATCAAAACATAATTTTATGTTATACATAATTATGCCTAATTATGTCAATTATACTACTGGGACTATGCATTTTTGCGTGCTAGATATGTCTTAGATTGTAGTTTTCATAATGATATTAACCTTTTTTAGAATAATCTTAAGGATCTATTTTAAGAATTGATAAAAAATATAGATAGCATATTTTTTTATTCTTTTGTCGGTGGGAGTTGTAGTGTAGTGCTCCCACGTTAAGGCCGAATACGAAGAGAACTGGCGAAATTTAATGTATTTCTCTTCACTACAACTTTGACCTGAAGTAATTCTAAGCGTTAAAACATTTTTTGTAGGTTTGTTCGGTTCCTTCACAAGGTGCCCGCAATTTTAAAATTTTAAAATAAATAAATATATCAACAAATAAAAAAATGTTAAGAAATGATATTTAAAAATGATTGTTCTTCCAAAACTCTGTGAATTTTAATTTAGGAAAAATTCTTTTACGTAAAAATGTTTGTATTTTGATTCCGAAGGTGCCTGCTGTCTTTATTTTTGATACAAAATATTATTTATTAACACAATTCGTTTCAATTAAAAACACCTAATAATAATATCGTATACTGCCAGATAAAAGTTTGCCGTAATAAATTACCAGGCGCTTCGACGTGTGACGTAAGGTAACAACAGTCGATGTGTCTTTAGCGAAAATCGTTAATTTTGTGTTTTATACGCGTTTAAGTGACTATAAATGTAAATATGGGTAGGAAAAGAAGTAAATGTTACCTAAGTGGTAAAACAAAGAGAGTTTATCGCATGAACGCTGCTCGACTGTTGTATTTTGAGGTTAATACTTATATTTTTGTAAGATAATTGTATATTATAATTAATATTATAATCTTAGATTATATTATAAATAAGATAATTTTGTATGAGGCTGCCTAATAGGTTGCATTTTTACTCATTTACATTAGCCAAACTGATCATTTATACTTTTCTAGTTTCAAGTGAGAAACACTAAAAATGTAAAATATCAAGACCCAGTCGGAAAAGAATGTACAGAGTAGTGGAAGGGCAGAGACCGCAAATAATGTCACAGTCAATGTATTGTCCGAAAGCATGGGGTACGTACATAATTAAGTAAAACCGAAATACTTCGGATGTGAAGTGATTGTCCAGTCGGAGTAGTCTTGTGAGAATTTACATACACAGGCCTATCCCCACTATGGGGTAATCACCGACTTTTTAGTTTTTTTTTCTTTATTATTTAAGCAATTTGCATTACGGCATCTTGTAAGACTCACAAGAACAAACATTTTCAGTTATATGAGGTTCTTTACGTACGATGCACCAATTAAAAAAAAAAACCGTTATCAATTCAATAACTTTTTGAACAATATTTTATAACGAATAAAGTACAGAATTTATAATCTATAGGAACTAATATTATAAATAAGAAAGATTTAATTAAGAAGTAAGCAATGCTCTCTGTGTTGTTCATTACTCTACATACTGAGCTAGCTCAGTCAAATATAATATAATCAAAGCCCGTACGGCTTTGATTATATTATACATGTCTAAATAAATAAAGCGTACGGGCGGCGCGTGGTTTGCTGCGAAATGAGCAAGGTCATTCGCGTCGTATTCGGCCTTAATATACTTTAGTGTTAAGGTAGAATAATGAGGCAGTCTAATTAAAGTTTTACTACCAACCACACGTCTCCTTCATTGACGCCTTTCCTATATTACAATAAGAATATATTAGAATAATTCACATCCATATAGAATCCATATAAGAATAACTCACAGATACACATTGGTGTCCAGACGACCCGACACTGCACTTACTCGTACATCACAATTGTAAACTCACCTGACGCGAACTGTGTGGAGAGCGTGGCGCACAGCAGCAGGCACAGCAGGACGCCGCGGCACCTGAGCACACAAATCATAAGTTATATAGAAGAATTTAATGTTTTATTTCTCCCACTCCTTTCCACCATCGGATAACCAGACGGTCGGCGGCTCTTCGCCCTTCTGTTGTCGATATACATGCATTAAACAAAACGGTTTGCTTCGTCTTTCGAAACGCGTATACAATAAAGGATCGGGTTAATTTGCTGTCGTCTTTCTTTCAGTCCGTATGCAATCTGGGCATCTTCAAGGCTAGAATGAGTAGGCTTTTGTTGCATTAAGACGATTTCGATGCGATAAAAGTGCGATGTATCATCTAGGGCTTCATCACCACTCACCACCAGATGGGATTGCGGTAAAGTACTGCTTACAATAAGTAAAAAAATTAAAGGAGCAAACGAACATACAGCACAAGAAATTAACAAAAACATTTTTATAATGTAACATCCAATCGATTCTCTTTCACAGAGTAATCAAATAAGTTTACAGATGGCTTCATCTATTTAACAATTGTTAAATACATACATACTATATTAATAGTAGATGTCCTCGTAATCGATACGTACTAAGACATTCTTAGTACAATTTTCCATATAAATTATTATCTGTCTTAAAGGGATAAAAAAATTCCTACATGCAACAACATCGTACAGTTAAACGCCCTATGCATTTAACTGTCCGATGTGGTTGCATACATAGCGATAGCAATACATTCACGTATGGACAATTATGATTGTAACACGAATAGGTCGACGGTCGGTTAGTCGCTGTGTTTTGTATGGTGGGTGTAGAGAACCGGAGAACCTTGTTACTGGAAACAAGGCATTCGATCTTAGTCCTCAAGGGTGACAATGCATTTGAATTTTGATTTTTAATGTAGAATAAATGTTGATCTGCTTACTGGTCACAACATCCATTTACCGTCAGATGGGCTGTGTGCTCATTTGTCACCTTTATTCTATGGACAGAAAAACAACGTCAACAATTTTATTGCCCCACCGTTGGGTCAGGTTAGCTGCGACTCGCAACACAGTAAGCACATGCTGCAGGCACGGGGCGGCGACGCTCTGATTATAATTAACGTTAAGTAAGCGGTACGGGAGCGCCAACATACCCCATGTGAGCGGCGCGCGGGTGCGGGAGCGGCGCGACTTCGGTGCGGCCTGGACATTGGCGCCGCCACCGATCTGCGGGAACAACGTGCGTACATGACATCACCGAACATCAGATTACAACATTACAAAATATAAAATACGAGTAGATACATGAGCAACAAGTTGTTCTGTAAATAATATGCAATAATGTGCATAATTTTAACTTTTTGAAGATATTTTCTACGATATGGTTAAAATTATATATACTCTTTATTTATATTATATTGTGATAAACGGTGTTGGTGTCAAGTGTATGGTAATATAATATATATATATATATATATACTTACTTATCTTCACGCACAATCCCTAACGGGGTAGCCAGAGAGAACAGATCGCCAAGTGTCACGATCCTTACATACCTCTTTCGCTTCTTTTAGGTTCATTAACTTCTTCATACATGCACGTCTAGGTATCCGAGTACTCTTGACCTTCCCCTCTTCGAGTAATTTGCTCACATGGTCTTCGAAAGTTAGTCTCGGTCTACCTCGACACCTTTTAATATTTACTTTTGCGCTATATATTTTCTTCACCATTCGGTCTTCACTCATTCGCTCAACGTGCCCAAATCATCGGAGTACGCCCCTATCAATTTTTGTGATAAGGTCATCTTTCAATCCTGCCATATTGCGAATCTCTTCGTTTCGCTTTCGGTCGGCTATGGTAACGCCGCACATTTTACGAAGAGATCGCATCTCTACTGCATTCAACTTGCTTTTATGCTTCTTCTGGCATACCCAGGTTTCGCTGCCATACAACAAAGTCGGTACCAACACTGCGTTATGTATTGCAAGGCGTGCACTCTTCACTACACTTTGCCTTTTGACTAACGCATTCAGGGCACCAATGACTTTGTTCCCGGCAGCGACATGCCTGTCCACATCTAAATCAGATCTTCCATCCCGGCGGAAAGCACTCCCCAAGTATACAATTTCATCTACCTGTTCTAGACATTCCTGATTTACCCATATTTCACATTTCGTTCTCTCTTCGTCCTTTTCAAATACCAGAACCTTAGTTTTATTAGCATTCAAACGGAGACCTTTAATTTCACATTCCTCTTTCATACACGTGACTAATGCCTGCAGTTCTGCTTCTGATGGTGCAATAAGCACTGCATCATCAGCATACAATTAACTTTAATGTCACCCAATTTCACACCCAAACAGCTATTTTTCAGCTTCTGTAAACAGCTGTCGAGATACAGTATGAACAGCCAGGAAGACATGACACAACCCTGTTTTACGCCCGCTTGGACGCTAAACATGGGTGACAGGTCATGCCCTACCCGCACACAGGCTTTACAGTCATAGCAAAGTGACTGCACAGCCCTTAACATTCGACCATCCACACCATATCCCGGTAACAGTTCCCACATTTTCTTCCTTATAACCTTATTAAATGCTTTCTCCAGATCCACAAAAGCACAGAAAATCTTCTGGTTAACACTCAGAAACCTCTCCGTGATCATGCGGAGAGAAAACATTTGATCCGTGCATCCTCTTCCAGGTCTAAATCCTTTCCTAATATATTATAATAAAATATAATCTCTGTTTATTTATAATATAGGGAAAAATAAAAAATAATAAAAGAAAACTGAATTGTGTCATGGTCTTCTTCAAAAAACCGCAAGATTAATCACCGACCTATATATTTCGGTTGAAGAATTTAGTTAGTTAAGAGGGCATATGCGTTTTGCGTCGAAAACTACATGTTTTATGGTTTTTCCAAAGGCGATATCGTAACGACGTGAGGAGATTATTTGCTGAAAATTAGGGCTTTAGAAAGATGAAGTATTTATTTAGTACATAGCAGTGCAAAATCATAGTTTTTAATGACGGTTTTTTAGGGCGAAGACAATCCCTCCACTGTATTTTAAGAAAATATGCGTCAGAGTTATCTTTCAGGTTGAATACAACCATTATTATAAGCTAAAATACTTTATTTTAAGCGTTATTATAATGAAATATATAGTCTTTTAGGGTATAGCAAAACTTAAATTAAGATAATATTTCGATTTAATATTATAAAATTTTTTCCATGTATTTGCTTATAAACATATCTATTTTAATTATTTTATCAAAATACATGTAATGTTAAATATCCAAAAAAATTTTTAGCTCGTTTTATTTTGTCAATTATTTTATATAATTATTTTAAAAATACTATAAAACATCATGCGCAGACGCAGTTCGATTCAGTACGCTCCGGGTAATCCCAACGACAGGACGTATTACTTTTTCTCACCGACACCGCGCGGTTGCGTTGATACACCGATAGGGCTATACTACACCATACTATAACTAGATACCTATAGCACCAGCGAGCATTTTAAACGATTCACTTTTATAAGCGATATTTTTGGTAGTAAGTAATTTTGAAATATGTTTATGATTGTAATATTTAAACATTAAATGATGCAATGGTGGCAAAATTTCATTTCATACATATTTTTTTTAGAAATGAGTAATTGAACGTAACAAGCAATTCGGATCAAGTAAAAATACAAAATCGTTGGCTTTCACCTTTGGCTCCGTGGCGGAGTGACTTGGTAATGAGTTGTAGCGCTGAGCGCCGCGGGTTCGAATCCCACATGGAACAAAAATTTGTATTATCTACAAATTAATTGTTCCAGGTCTGGATGTTTGTCCTTGTGAAATTAATGTATTTAAACTGCCCCAACGATATATGTACTTAGGAAAAATTCCTAGTGTGGAGATAACGTTATGATTAAACAAAGACATGCCATCAAAAACATAACTTGTAAAATAACCAAGTCTCGCAATGATGATACGGCCGTGCCGCTGTTTTGGTCTACATGGCGGGGGCACTACCGTGCCCCCAGATATAAAACATATGAGCCGTGCTTGAGTTGAGTATTCAATGGCGTAGTGCTCGCCGTAAACGCGAACAATCCGGGCTCGATCCCCGCTAGTGTTGCCAGGTGTCCCGATTTGCGCGGGACGTCCCGATTTTCAAAGGTCTAGTGACACGTCCCGATTCATCATTGACCGGGACGCCAAATGTCCCGATTTTCACTAACCTTCTTATTCTATACTTTAATCCATAATTTTGACAGCAAAAATGATTATATCTGTTAGCTACTACCACATTAAAATATTTTTACTACGACATTGTCTCACCAGTCGAAAAAAAAAACCACAAAAGTTTTAAACAGAATTATATTAAAATGAGTGATTTGAAAAATTCAGACTGCAAAAAAAACACAAGTAGTTCAAAAATGTTTTAATTTGCCTAAAATGAAAAAAAAAATCAGTTTTTACGATGTTTGGATGAAAAGTTATTCGTTCATGAGATCAGACTCGAATAATAATTATAAAGCACAAAAGTAAAGTTACAGTCACAATTTCTCGCATTACTCGCATTTTTACAGCATCTTCCTCATCTTCGCATATTTACAGTTAGCGTTGACCATCTGAGCCACCACGGCTCTCAATAAAGCACAAAAGGCTACTAAGAAACCTATATTTTGTAGTCATTCTAGTTGTCCGGATATGAAAACCAAATCCCCTATTATTTTTACCTTCCGTCCCGAAATTTTACTTGCTAGACCTGGCAACACTAATCCCCGCCGACACTGATGAAATTGTTAATTTGATGAATTATGTTTACATTATGAAACAGAATAAAAGTTTATCAAATGATATATATTTTATACAATACATATTTTTCAATTAGAACATATACATATTATAATATACTCAATAGGGTGAAAATGTAAAGCCGACTTCAATTTACTAAAAGAATAAAACAATTTCCACATATTAGCTTTCGATTTCTATACACTATATAAGCCATTGTATGGAAATTATTTTTTTTTTATTTTAGTTCCAATAGTATCAAAGACAGGTGTATAATCAACGATCAAAGTGATTCGTAGTCGTCGTTAGGCAACTATTATAGCCACACGCTCGCCCTGACACGCACACAGGATAACATTGTAGTGTGTCACGTCATTATTACGCCGGTCCAAAGCGACCGCGTAGATTTAGACTTGGACATATTTGAATAATCATGAAAAAGTGAACAGAGTACTCCATTGTGTGTGTTTTTATTGTACCTAAATTATTTACTTTAAATTTAAACAGGAAAACAAATATAAACATTATTGTAGTGATTAATATGCATACATACTGTGTATACGAGTACGTACAGAATTAGGATATTACGGTTGTTCTTAATTACTGGTGTAAAGAAAATTTACTTTCTAATGGCGCGTCACGACTGTCTAGCTCAATGTATTTACACGATATAGGCACTCAACCGACTGTTGTGCGGTTAATTTTAAAAGCTTATTGTAAATTATTTCTCTTTATTTTTAATTATTTACAAATATGCATATTTCTTTAATGTACAAGCATGTTAATGTACATCTGACGTATCTCGATCATGGCAATGAATTCTGTATATTATTAGAAGGTAACAACTACGCGAAGTACTATAGTACTTAGCTAACGACACTGTTGTACTAGTATAGCGCACAAACAAAGGGCACGAACTTGACCCATGCGAAAGGGAACGCGTACAAACCCGATAACTAAAACAGGATAAGCTTTGGGCTCGTGGTTAGTAGTCTAGAAGGTAGCGCTCAGAAGTGATGAGGAATTTGACGCACATAAAATGTCCTCAATGGCGGCCAGAGTCAAACAGTCGTTTTGAAAATTTGAAGCCGTTGCACACAAACGCACTTGACCTTGTCTCAGATCCCTAAAAAAATTAAACAGCACTATTTGAGATGTTCTCGAACCATGAGATGTCATCTAAACCTACATATCTAGGTATACATGTTGTTATATACTTTGCTTTTCAATGGGTAATAAATTTTCTTGCATCAATAATCTGAGTCGTTCATTTCAATGTAAACACAAGGTTAAAACTTAAGATAAGTAGCGTAAATAGTGACACGTTGTTGTCACCCTCCTACGACAGAAGAAATGATGTGTTTATAGTTGCGTCACACAGTTAGCGATGTATGATAACAGTCTTTTAGCACGGCGAACATTTCCAGGTGC